TGGCCTTATTCAATACTCCAGCGTAGGTCGGCATGTTGAGCATGTTAACTCGGTCTTGTATCGGCCCACGAAGCCCGCTTTCGAACTTCCTGGCTTTTCTATATTCGTCATCGACCATGTGAGGCACATATCTTGCCAACTCGGTAAAAGCACGGTCATATTCTGCCACTGTCTTGTTGCCTTGTGTCAGAGTCTGGAACTCTGTGGTCTTGCGGTCTCGAACGCTAAGGGGAAAGTGTTTGTTGTAAAACAACTCCAAAAATCTGGCCCAAGTTAGACCTGGGTTGCTCTCTCGGGTCATCATCCACCATCTTCGTGCAATGTCGTCTAATGTGAACGCGGCCAATGACACCTTCTGGGCGTCGGTGCTGGGAAAAATCTCAAACAGTTTCTCTATTTCCAAGACCCACGCCTCGGCTTTCATCGGCTCTATACCCCCAGAGAATCTCGGCGGTTTCATCTTCTTAAACTCTCGGATCAGGGCTATGGTGCCGTCCCTATATAAAGCTTGTTGTGGAGGCACTTGCGGCGCTGGAGGAGGTGGATATGGAACAGCATGTCGGCCGTTTGTCTGCTCGGCCTAGGTAGAAGTAGTACTAGTGTCTTGTGGCCTAGGTTGTCTTAACTCACGGACCAAACCTTCGACCAATCTCTCTAATCTGTCCAATCTGTCTTCGGGATGATCTCGGCCAACTGGTGGTCTACCCCTCTTCATGATGCTATGAGTATGCAAAATGTGACTTTAAAACAAAACGATCAAACAATATGCATGCAAATAACAAGAAGTCACGTCGAGATCATGCACACATTGTCAAGTAGCAAGTATTATGATGCAATCCTAACATCATTCTAAGGGGTATCCTATGCTCTTTAGGACTCAAAGTGTGTGAATAACGTACTATAAGAAACTTGTGCTCTGATACCAATCTGTCACGACCCCATTCCGTCCCTAGTAGAATGGTGCCGTGATGGCCAGTAATCCGAGATTACCAAAGGCCAACTTACAAGAATTCACACACAATCAGAGTATATATATGGGGCTAACATGTGCGGAAGCAATAAATTTAGATCTAATTAGTCCGTAAGAGCTGTGCATAAGTCAAATGAAGTGGCATACATCTTTACATAGCTTTACAACTTGAGTACAATAAAATGAAGTACAAAAAAATACATCTTGACCAAAAGGCTTCTCAAGCCATCATATACAAAACATAATGAATTACGAGCTAAGAAGCATGATCTTCAAGATGCTACAAAATGCGAATCAGCTTCATCAATCAAAGTCTTTCAAGGCTTTCAAGTTTCAAGGGGTGACATTAATAAGGGTTGTGCTACAAATGCTTATAGTCCCCTAGCACGTACGGACTTTCAAAGGTTATGCTACAAGTGCTTATAGTCCCCTAGTATGTACGAACTTTCAAAGGTTGTGCTACAAATGCTTATAGTCCCCTAGCACGTACGGACTTTCAAAGGTTATGCTACAAGTGCTTATAGTCCCCTAGTATGTACGAACTTTCAAGGGTTGTGCTACAAATGCTTATAGTCCCCTAGCACGTACGGACTTTCAAAGGTTATGCTACAAGTGCTTATAGTCCCCTAGTATGTACGAACTTTCAAAGGTTGTGCTACAAATGCTTATAGTCCCCTAGCACGTACGGACTTTCAAATATTGTGCTACAAATGCTTATAGTCCTCTAGCACGTACGGACTTTCAAAGGTTGTCATCAAAACAAGATAAGACTTAATATACAAAATAGGGATAATCATTCATGCTTAACAAATACTTTTCAAACAAGGCAAAGCTTTATCAAAACTTTATAACATAGCTTTATTAAAAATACCACTCACATAGTTCTTCAATGTCGGGGTCAAGCGAGAGTCCAAGTCCTACAAACGCATGGCAAAGTCTATTGAATGCACTATCAAGCAAGCTTTACATGAACGCAAATGATCTCGACATTCTTTCAAAGCCAAGGCAAATCAAAACAAAACACTGTTTCTCATCTCGAGAAGACATGCTGGGCACCAACCAGGTCTTGGCCGAGGTCCCACACCTCATTGCCGAGGTGTGGTCCTGTGGCCGCATTCAAGGGAATGAAGTCGGGAAAATCTGGGTTTCCCTTTCTTGAAGGACATGACGAACAAGAAGAACATGAACATGAAGAACATGGATGCAAAGATCATAACTTATCATTACAAAATCTGAGATTTCATGCCATGAATTCAAAAACATAGACCTGGGCACCCATACTCGAAGTTTTCATGAAAACAAACACAAAAACATGAATCTTGATGCAAGCTTTCGGATCAAACAAGGCTTCTATTCAAGAATACATGAATATCACTTTCTCTTTCTAAAACCAAACTTTAAATCGATGCATGGTTTGCAAATCAGGTTCGATCATGCAATGCAGCTAGATGATCAATAAGAACAACAAGAGTAGATTAAGATTCTAACCTCAAGACACGAATTTAACGGCTCAAGGTGTGAAGATCAAGCTTGGAAAATCTATCCCTCTAAGAACTCCTTCTCCCTCTTCTAGAGCTTCTCTCTCCTCAAGAACAAAGGCAGATAGCAAAATGATACATTTCTAGGTCTGCTGCTGACTTAACACTCGGCTGGGGCACGTGGCAACGGCTGGTTGGCTCTACTGAAAAAGGTGACTGAGTGAAAAGACAAGACCATGACAAGGTGTGTTCTACAAGCAAGATGGCATAGGCACTCCGGCAGGTAATGATCTCGGCTAATGAAGAGGCATCGGCAAGTAAGGGAATAATGATCTCGGCTAGGAAGGACAACACTTGACTAAGCTATGCCACACCTTGGCCTAGATGTGCCACACCTCGGTCTAGGTCATACTACTCCAAGACAAGATCACTTAGGTGCAAAGGTAACATCTCGGCCTAGATAATACACATCTCGGCCTTTGTGATAAACACCTCGGCCTAGATAATGACATCTCGGCCAATATGCCAGGGCGAAGGTGGAGGTCAAACAGAGTGACTCCAAGATAATTCTAGACTGAAGATGACCTCGGCAAGACTCACACCAAGCAAGGTACAAAACATGCAAGAAACATTTAAGCAAAACAAATCAAGGTTTGCAAAATGTAACATATCAAGACAAGATCATGTAATATATGCAAGCATGACTAGAGTAGAGTGAGGGTTGTTACAATGGTAGATAATTCTGACCATTGAGTAGAGAAGTGGTGATTTTAAGGCTAGGGTTGAGATTATTAGTCATAGTAGAAGGTAGAACAGACCTCTCGCTCTTAAGCGGCTGAGAAGTTGTTGACTCACTAGTGAAATCTGCCATGAATATTCTACTAAGCAACCCTCAAACCCAAGACCAATCACAAACTTGAAAGGTGGTAGAGGAACAAGCACAAGCGTAACTAGAAAATCTAAAAGAATTTAAGAAGCCATAATTTTTTTTTTTAATTTTTTTTTTACGTCACCAGTTTTTTTTTTTTATTTTTAGAACAAGGACTATTTAAATATTTAAATGGAGAACATGATAAAAGCAGAAAGAGACGACATTACAAAAGCAGGGAGAAACAACAAGGTGACAACGACGGGAGCCCAGCAAACTAGAAAAATTGCCAACAAGGGCCAATAAGGCCAGAGGGGCTGTCGGCAGGCCCTTACTAGGCCAGAGGAACTAGCGACAAACCCCTAGACAACCAGAGGGGCTGCCAACTAAGTCCAAGAGGCAGTCGGAGAGTCCAAGAGGACTGCCAACAACTTGGGTAGGTGTGTCAAAGGTGTAGATGGCCTGTAGGTGAGCTAGGCGAAGGTCTCCAGGGGCTGGGTAAGAGTCTACAATGACTGGACTGTTAAAACAAGACTGTCGGCAGCAGAAGAGAAGAAGAGCAACAGAGAGGGGCTAGGGTTTTGGCTCTGATACCATGTAGGTTTAGAGATAAGAAAAAGTTAGGGAATGAGTTAGACTTCATTCCCTTTTGTATTAATAATACTGAGTAATTACAAGAATGTTATAAGGCATAATATATGGGCCAGTCCATTACACCAATCAAGGGAATAAATAATAAGGAAATACAATCACTTATTTCCTATTCTAACTTATTTCCCATTCTAACATAGATCACATGGTATGGGTTTACGGAAAGGAGTTTGGAAGAATGGGGATAGTTTCTCCATACATACTTTCTACAAGGTTAGTAATCGCAGTCGTCGAGGCTTCTAGCAAGATATTTGGTATGGGCCAAGGACCCCTTCTTCTTTTTTTTTTTTTTTTTTTTTTTTGTGCTTTCATATCCATCAAAACATCTGAAATGTTTTTGTTTATTAGGAAACCAAAATTAAACATTAGTGGCATACCGAAATTCCAATGTTTTCACCAAAACACTAGAAATACAAGTTTATTACTGGGACATCCAGGTTCAGATACCACCAATATTCAATTTAAATGAGTAATCAACATCCAAAATAAGCTGTCAGAAAGATGAAGTGATTTTCTGATATACAGCACTATGTATCGCTCATAACTACATTTAATGTCGATTCATAATAAATGTAACAGAACAATAAAAGGTGTAACTGTAAACTACTTAAATCGAACTATAGAAAGAAATACTACACAAAGAATACAAGAAAATATTGATAATATAATTCTTTCAGATAATAGAAGACCATTATTGCAATTGATTCTCCCTCATCATGAAATATGTTTTTCTTAATCAGCTTAATTGGTAAAATAAACAATTAACTAAAGAAATAACTTATGATAAAGGAAGATGATTTTTTCCTATGTGCATTAGTTGTGGACACATAATTTTTAACAGTTTAATACCATGTCCTTGCACAACAGTAATGTGGTATGCCAACTTATCACACATACCAAGTTGGTTTTCAAACATAGAAGAAATGTAAGCATTTTTTAAATTTTTTTTTTGACAAGTCAGCTGAAAATTAAACATCTAACCAATCCTACTAGTAAAAGCTAAGGCATGAGAGGGTAATTCAAGTAAACTTACAGAATCTTCAAGTTTGGCATTTTTGAAAGCTCTGGTGGAAGGTACCCTGACAAATTGTTATTGTCCAAAAGGCTGCAAATATTTTACTTTTGCATGAGAAAGGGAACTTGAATCAAGTGACTACTAGCATAAACTAGAAGAACAGGGCAATCAATGAACTATTTTTCATGTGTAAAACACTAGTAAATATTATGGGACTTACACGTGTTGAAGTTGAAGTAGTTCAGAAAGCTCATATGGAATCTGACCACTGATTGAATTGTTGTTCATGTGGCTGTAATATAAACATCAAGTTTAAATTCAGATACCCAAAGATCCCTAAAGACTGATTGCTTCCCTACAAAAAGCTTTGGTTTTTAGAAACAACTCACAAATGCTTAACGTTGGACAAATTTGCAAATGACTTTGGTAATGGTCCTGATATGTAGTTCCGGTCTAACTGAAATTTAATCAAATTAGGAAGAAAACCAAGCTCATCTGGTAGAGGACCTGATATTTGATTACCACTCAAAAGCCTGAAAGTATAGAGTGTACACAAAGAAACGTGCATTGAATCAATCATAAAGGCAGTAAGAGAAACCAACTGAGAGAGAGAGAAAGCAACAAAGCCGAAGCAGCAACAAATCACCACAACCAAAAAGGCCGAAAAATGACATCCCACAAAGAATGCTACCGAACACACTGGTAGCTCAAAAATAAAAAAGAACCAAATATGTGCTTATCACATCAGTACAGGGACCCTACGGTAGAGAAGTAGCTAGAAAACTCAGTGTATCACAAAATAATGCTATCAAACCCACCGGCAACCCAGAAATAAGTAAAAATCATATAGTTTGCTTACCACATCAGCAAACTAGTGGTTAACTCAAGGAAAAGGGAAAAACACCTTGATAACAAAAAATGTGGAGTGAGAGAGTTCTCCATAGAGAAACATGCCTAGGGTTCAATAGGCTCTAATACCAAATTAAATTTTGTAATAAAGCAATAAGGTTGAATATGGAGAGATAATAGAGACAGAAAAGAAAAAAGAAAGAAAAGTAAAAAGAAAGAACACACAGGTTTAATGTGGTTCAGCCAATATTGACCTATATCCACACACACAAAGCCCTAGGAGGCTACATCTTTCATTCACTCAATTTGATTCTCTTGTTTACATGATACACCATATATATAGAGTGAGAGATACAATCAAATCTCTTCAGTTAAGGAATTGAAATAAATCAAAAACACAAAAAATCATAAAAAGCACAAATCATGATATCTCCATATATTCTAATATCTACCAAGTTCCATATCTTTTGATATCTTTGACAATATAATCTTTATCTCCAACATACACTAAGTTTGTGATTGTTGCTATTTTAAACCATACTGCATCTGTGTTTACCGAAGCCAACAACTAGTTCTTGTGTTCCGCAGTTCCCATTAGACAAATGAAAACAACAGGAGCACATGCCCTTTGGAAATCTTAAAACAAATAATTAATCAAATTAATAGTTAGCAGAATATATGGCCGATAGTTACAATAATAGTTCCCTAATCATGTTGACTAAATATAAGAAATATGCAATTCAACCAATAGCCAGTTTTAATCAATTCATTGAAGAAATCAGTTTTATAGCAGCATACTTCAACCATTTGCTCCAGCTTTGTTGTGGTTAGTGTCTTATCTTTCACACACCCAATCCCAAGCCAGAGAAAAGAGATTGTAAATTAAAATACACATGAATGCAAACTTATAGTCATGCCTTATGAACATGAAACCTAAGAATTTATTAGTTGGGACAATGAATAGCCAACTGAAAAAACAAATCCATGTAGCTGACCCCAACTAGCTCAGATTGAGACATGTTGAGTTAGCTTGTTCTTCTTAACCACAATTTTGTGTATACTGACAGTAGAAACATTCTTATTCTGGATACAGGGGGGATAAAACTTTATTACAGTGGAAAGTTGGCAAGGGAGATTCATGCTTTAGCAGTTGATGTAACATACATATGATGATTCATCTAGTATTTATTAGAGTATTTATACAGGCAAATTTAAAAACTCGAAACCTGATGTAGGAGAAGATTTTAAAAATTCCTATATTTTTAGTTTTAATATTTTTGATATATTATTTGATTAAGATTCTTGTAATTTAGTATAAATATTTTAGAATTAGGTTTCTTTATTTGCTTTGATTTTCCCTTTCCTAATTTTAGGTTACTTATTCTCTAAGAATTAGACTAGTTAAGTTGTTTCCTAATTTTAGATTATTTGGTCTCCAAGATTTAGATGATTATAAATAGGTATGTAAGCCTTATGGTAATGACAACTTTTATTCAATATAATTCATATATTTTCTCTTCCTTGTGGATTTAATATTCTATTTTTCTCGTGGATTCAAGAGTCCCTTTCATCTACTGGAACGATATCTAGTTCCCATGTATTCCGCTATGTCAATACCACTAGCAGCACCAGAAAATATTCAACCGAATCTAAAATAAGATGAATTTCAAGTTTCAACATACAGGTGATGCAAAGAAGTAATATTTCCGATCTCCTTTGGTATGCTTCCACTTATATCATTCCACATAAAATCTCTGGCAGAAGAAAAGAAATAAGTCATCAACATCAAAACAAGAATATATCATCTGCTTAGGGATTACATTACTCATGAATTGAACAAATTGATAATTTGTTAACATGTCATGACTCACAATATTTCCATATGAGGTAGTTGGCCCAGTTCAGGAGGTAATATTCCAGACAGATTCTTATTTAGCAATCGCCTGCATTGTGAAATAAAATAAAATTAAGAACGGAATGAAAATAAAACAGCTAGATAAATGGGTGTAACCATAACACATTGATATGCCTTATTCAATTGGCTTAACTTTGTGACACCTTGTTTTACTCAATTGAACATTTTTAGTGGGAAGAAAATCAGGAAACTTTTCATTTGTTTCTTGTCTTCAGTAAATATGTCATTCAATTACCTAGGCTTTTATCTGATTCAACTTCCTGTAATCATTTCTTTAAAAAGATTAAATTTTGTACACCTAGAAAATCATTGCAATATCTGGGGTATTGAGAGCTTGCTTTGACACCAAAGTTGATGCAGCAAACTTGGAAGATTTATGTCTTGTGAAAAACTTAGCCAAATAAGATTAAGAAAATGATTCACAAGCATAAAATAGAAAATATTTAGGGTGAAATACTAATAAATCTCAAATAATGATCTTATGAACACTTTGGTCCTTCATTTTTTTTCTTATGAACTCAAAGGTCCCATTCTGGTGTGAATTGGCCAAGCACAAACGCGCGTGTTATGTGTTGAGGGAAAAATATAGATTTTCTCATAATATAGAAAGTACTAAACGTAACACTTTAAAAAAACTCTTTCCGAAAACGTAACACTCCAATATAACACACTAAAAAACTCATTAGTATACTTTTTCTAAACGTAACACTCCAATATAACACACACAAAAAAAATTAGTGTATTTTTCTCAAATATAACAATATAACATTCCAAAAAAATTATTTAATGTATTTTTTCTAAACGTAATACTTCAATGTAACACACTAAAAAACTCTTTAATGTACTTTCTCAAACATAACAATGTAACATTCCAAAAAACTCTTTAATGTATTTTTTTCAAATGTAACACTTAAATCAATGTAACACACAAAAACTCTTTAATGTACTTTTTTCAAATGTAACAATCTAATGTAACACTCCAATGTAACACCAGAAAACCACACTAACCGAAAATGAATCAATATCCCTCCATATGGAATTTACGGGTAAATTTTCCAAATATTTATCCAGAGAAGAAATTAAGAAAAACTGTATAAAGATATTCTTGTTATGCAGAAGTAAATTAAAGCACTACTTAGTTCTCATTATCGTGGACCACATAGATTGCCATAGAAGTCTTATTCTAAAATCTAATTAATCCTAATTTTAGCACGATACGGTTTTCTGTAGGAGAGTAAAAAAACTTCAAATTTTATCATATCCTCTACGAAGAACTAACATGGAATTTTATAGCCTTCAAATACTTACAAATGATATATTCTCATTAAATTCTACATGCCTTACAAATAGACAAAGTCTATCAAACAAAACAGTTAAATATGCCTATAGTTAACTGCTCCCTGGATTCCTTAAGTAGTAAAATATCAATTGGTGCAAATGTAAACACTAATTTGTATCTTTTCTAGGAAATACAGAGGACAAGACTTGTGATATTATTGCAACAGGTTAAAAAAGAGACGAGAAAGTGGATAAGTGAAAGACTCATTAACTTTGAAGATAAACCGCATAGATATTTGTGAAGAAGAAACGTTGAAACTCCTAAATCATTAAGAAAAATTGAGACTCAAAAACTCAAATTTAATTTAATCACAACTGTATAGATATTTGTGAAGATGAAATGTTGAAACTCATAAAACATTTAAGAAAACTGTAATAAAAAACTCTCAAATTTCATTTAATCAGAACTGTCTTCTTGTGCTAAAGCATATATAGTTTGCCCTCTTCATCTTAAAGGAGCAGATAAAAAAGGTTCGCAAGAAAGGCAAAGTGCAAAGGTATAATAACAAGAACTGAAAAGGACAAAGTGGAACAGAAACATATATGTACGTACAATTCTTGAACATGTAGATAACCATCACTTGAATCGACGTTGCAGATAACCCCAGTCCAATTTGAGGTGCAAGGATCTTTCTTTGCCCAATTCCTAAGATTTTTCAAGGGATCCTGTAGTTTGCCATGAATTGCTTGCAATGCTGCAACTGCATTACAGTACCCAAGTACGAATACAACCAATAATTTCAACAAATGAGAACAATTCTCTTGTCGGTCTGATTGTATGTAGTATAAGTATGTGCATAGATAATTAAAGAGAATGGGTTCGGGGGTGGGGTTGTACTAGTGAAGACAATAGAAGAGCAGAGCAAGAACCTTCCAATGGATGAGTAATCTGTGAAGCTGCAAGTAGAGCAAAGTAACATGATAAGAAAGCAAGAATTATTGTGATAAGACATACTCTCTCGCCCGCCATCTTCAACCAATTCATTAAAAAAATTCCCATGAGTACAAATAACTACTTGCAAAACCCAAAAAGTACAAAAGGCTTAATGTTGGTTCTTCAAATGCACAAAAATAAAAATAAAAATAAAAATCACTCTACTTTACACAGCTGCCTTTCCAATTTTGTTGATGACTCTGTGGAAACAACAAAATGAAAACGAAATCAGAAACAGATGAAGGAGGGGGATAATACATATGCGTACGGGGGGTTGTTGAGTTGAGTTGAGAGGACTCGGACAACTGAGGAGTCATTGTCAATGTGAGTCAGCGTCATCGCCATGGCTGAATTTGAGAGCATAATACAAATACAATAATCCAGGGCTTTCGTAAGTGGGCAATTGCGTTTACTTTCGTTTGATCAGAGCAGGGGATGGATAGACATTTTCTAACTGTAAAAATATAATACAATACCGTACAATACAGATTTCTGAGCAAGGACTTCTTCTTCAGAGCGAAACCTCACAGTTTTGGAGCCCTCAATCAAGCGCCAAAGTCTAACTACCAATTTTTAAATAAATATTATATATCTATCTATCTATCTATCTATACTATCTATATAACCAAATATAGTTGTTTTGTCAAAAGCCTTCAAATATTTATTCCTAAATTCTCATAATTTTAAAATTCTTTCTTTCCTACATGACAACTTTCTTTGATTGCCTTTCATATTTTCTATTTGTTATGTAGTTGTTTTGTCAAAAGCCTTCAAATATTTATTCCTAAATTCTCATAATTTTAAAATTCTTTCTTTCCTACATGGCAACCTTCTTTGATTGCCTTTCATATTTTCTATTTGTCTTCATTTTCTATTTGTTTGATTAATTGAAATTAAAATTAATTTTATTGCTTATGGATAAAAACTTGAATTTCAAAATTCCTCCATATAGATAAACATATAAAAACTGAAAATTAATTTTACAATCTACAAATAAATATAAAAATTAAACAATTAATTTCATAACTTATAGATAATTTAAAAATTCTTCCCATAAATAAACACACAAAAGTTGATAAATAACTTATAAAATTAATTTTATGGCCTACAAATAAAGATAAAGATTAAATAATTGATTTTAAAAAAATGAAATTATTCCTTTTTTTCCCCTTTCATTTTGTACTTTACTTAATTTCATTTTAGATAAACATATAGAAATTCATAAATAATTTATGAAAATTTATTTCATGACCTATAGATAAACATAAAAATTAAAAAAATATATATTTAAAAAAATTAATTTCATGACTTATAGATAAATAAATATATAAAAGTTGATAAATAATTTATAAAGATTAATTTCGTGGCCTACAAATAAAGATAAAGATTAAATAATTGATTTACAAAAAATTAAAATAATAAAATTTAGATAAAGATATGATTTGTTAATCTATATATCTATGAAAAACATATATATCTAAATCTTTATTTTGATTTACTAATATATTTTTTTCTCCTATCACATATTATCTTTTTTTTTTTTATTTTAAATTTTTTATCTTATGAAATATCCTTATCTATAACTTCTTATCTCCTATTAAATTTTTAACTTTCTTTTGATAATTTTTATTATTCGTTATTATCTACCAAGTGATAAAGATTAAAAAAAAAATTATTAGCTTTGAATGAGAAGATTATTAATAATGAAAATGGTTGACTTTGAATGAGAATCCTCCATATAGATTAAATAATTGATTTACAAAAAATTAAAATAATAAAATATAGATAAAGATATGATTTGTTAATCCATATATCTATCAAAAACATATATATCAAAATCTTTATTTTGATTTACTCATATTTTTTTTCTCCTTCTATCACATATTATCTTTTTTTTATTTTAAATTTTTTATCTTAGGAAATACCCTTATCTATAACTTCTTATCTCCTATTAAATTCTTAACCATTTCTTGATAATTTTTATTATTCGTTATTATCTACCAAGTGATAAAGATTAAAAAAAAATTATTGGCTCTGAATGAGAAGATTATTAATAATGAAATTGGTTGACTTTGAATGAGAATCCTCCATATAGATAAACATATAAAAACTAAAAATTAATTTTATAGTCTACAGATAAAGATAAAAATTAAATGATTAATTTTAAAAAATTAATTTCATAACTTATAGATAATTTAATTTTTTTCCCATAAATAAAAATATAAAAGTTGATAAATAACTTATAAAAATTAATTTCATGGCCTAGAAATATAAAAAAAAAATATGAAAATTTGTGATTAGTTTAAAATAGGTTCATGTGGTGTTATATGATCAATTAATAATTTTCTCCTGTAGTTAGGAAAATTCTTCATTGCTCCTGCTTGTTAGGAAAATTCTTAAGAAGAGTATTACTAATGACATAATGAAGGCTGCATGGGATAAAGCAGCACAAAAATCTCACAAAACTAATTTTCGTCACTATATTTATACAATGTAATAATTTGATATTCTTTCTATTAGTTATTAAAAATAGTTTACATTAGATCATTGTTATGTTATTTTATTTTATTTTTTATAAGATTGTCATTCGTTATAGTATTGCTTCAATTCCATCTCTAAATTCTCTCTTTGAAATTTTTATTTTTTGCAATAATAAAGTTTAGAATCAATTTTTTATCAAATTTGTTTTCTTGGTCCTTATTTTATTGAAGGATCGAAACGAGTAAAACTTTTATATGATATATGAAATTAATGAATATAATACAAAGATGATAGGGAAGGACTACATATTTGTCAATATATCTATGTTATTATTAGCTGATTTGCTAGATATGCTATCAATTTAGAGTCCATATGATTTAATTCAATGTCCATTACTTTATTTGTATTTGATCATTTTTTCGTTGAGTAACCTATATAATTTTTTTTGATATATAATGATTAAAGTTATTATTTGTTATATTTCTTCAAGTACAATTCAAATAATTTTTCATCATTTTTTTATAAATAAAATGGATTAAAACTATTTTTTTCTATAATTTTTTTAATCTTATGAAATTCTTATCTAGATTAATTTTTTTAAAATGATTCAGGAAGTTTGCAAGTATTATTTAAACTATAGAGAATGATTTATACTTTGATATAATATGCGTGTGTGATTGATAGAGGAAATCAAAGATAGAGAGTTGCTAACATAATCAATTAATGATTTGTTTGAGAAGCTCTATTTATGAGTACAGCAACAAACTTAGATTAAAATTTTTTAAAAACTACTTATAAAGTATAATTAAAAGTTGCTATTTATTCATAATTTAATCCCACAATAATAATATACACCACTGATTTAAAAGTCTAAGTAAATTTATGATAACTTTTTGAGTTTATAGAATTCCTCTCTATTAATGTTTTGTTCAGTTTGACACAAGTTATTTATGTTATTAAGTAATTGTGATACTATTATTCTCAACAATTTTTATAATTAATAATGTTTTATGCATAGACGTAATATAAGATTAAAATGATTTATTTATCACGTAAAATATATATATTTTATTTTTTCCGTGCATCGCACGGGTTACCGCTAATATATATATATATATATGTGTGTGTGTGGGCACATCTATACTATTATGGAGAATTCTATTATACAAAACAAATCACATACTATTATTTTGATTTTTTTTTTTATAAAAAAAAAAATGTACAAAACGTAAAGCGTTATTTATTACGTAAAATATATATAGTTTATTTTTTCCGTGTATCGCACGGGTTACCGCTAGTATATATATATATATATATGTGTGTGTGTGTGGGCATATCTATACTATTATGAAGAATTCTATTATACAAAACAAATCACATACTATTATTTTGATTTTTTTTTTATAAAAAAAAAATGTACAAAACGTAAAGCGATAATATAATCTAAAAAAGTTAAAAACAAATACACTTGTGTAGTGCACCCAAACACTCTCTAAGCATGGAATTATGCCAGCATATGAGTGTATACCATAATCATTCTCTACTATTACATATGTCAGCACTAGATTTGGTTGCTTCTCCTGTTATATATTAAAATAAGAAATTATTATTAAGTTTGATTAAGAATACCTTACCACTTAGATAATATATATATTATAATATTAATTTTTTTATTATTTTTTTTTATAATGTCTAGCATAACATATATAAGTGTATTTATTTAAGTGATATCACTTTTCTACTTTTTTATATATCTTGTTATAAAAGATAAAAAAGTATATTTATTTAAATCATTTTAAATACTTTTTTATTTAAATTGCACACGCATCACATGTACCATCCATTAATATATATATATATATTTTATAATTTACATCACTTTCGAGTAGCAAGTGGAAAGCATCATCCTCCATTTGTCAACCCTTTAAACTTTTAGATCAATATTTTTAAATTTTGGATTGAATTGATCAGTTCAATTAATCGAATTCTCAACTAGTTATAACTTCCGTTGAAATCATCAACGGTTAAACAAATCAAATGTAATCGTGGAGAAATTTGTGATAAATCTAATTTAAAGAACGTATAAAGTATTAGGTTTAGTGATTTTTTTATTCATCAGAGATCTACTATTTGTAAAATAGATTGGTGAGAAATCCTTTTATTTGTTTTAAAGGGCATTTTATTTTTAATTTTATTCCTTAATTTATTTGTTGACTTTTTTTTATCTATTGACTTTTTTTGACTATTTGTTCAAATTTTTTATCTATCTATTTAAATATATATCTATCTGTTCAAATTTTTTGACTATATGTTTAAATTTATATCTATCTATTTATTTTTTTCTCTACCTGTTTAATTTTTTCCCTTTTCTATTTAAATTCTATCTGTGTAAAATTTCTATCTGTGTGAAATTCTTGTACTAGCTTTTATGTGTTCAATTTTTTACTTCCAAATTTTTTCTTATCTATTCAATTTTTATCAACAATGATTTGTTTAAATTATTTCCTAAACAATGATCTGTTTATCTGTTCAGTTTTATTTGTCCAAATTTTATTATCTGTTCAATTTTTTCCCTTATCTGTTTAAATTTATCTGTACAAATCCCAAAATCCTCTATCTGTTTAATCCTCCAAATCCAAATCTCCCAACTCTTTTCTTTTCTTTTTCTGGAGAACAAAACAAGGGATTATGAAGAAAAAGAAAATGATTTTTCCAACCAAAATTGCAGAACCAAGCTTCATCAACAACAACAACAACTGTGATGTCCTCAGATATATATATTTTTTAAAAGCAAATGGAGCATATTAATTCAAAATTTCTTTTTTTTCGAAGTCCTTATTGCTTTTGAACCCTATGACTTACGTGTCGTCACTTATTCTTCTCTTTGTAATTATTCATCCTCGTCCTAATGTATTTTCCAAGGTGCCAACTTGAGTCTTTGGGCGTTGGAGCAAGTTTAGGAATGGTGGAAATGCTCTAAGATTGATTTTTGCCCCACTTGTAAGTTGAGTCCACT